CCAGGGCTCCCCAGGCTCCTTCCCAGCAGCATTAGCATTCATCTTAGTCCCGAGCAGGTCCCCTCTGGTCCTTTGATGCTCAGAGAGCTGAGAACTCACAGCCCTTTTTTCTTTTACTTTAAAGACTGTAACTTGTTTACAAATCTAAATGAAACCCTGTTTCAGACTCTGACTCCCTCCTTCTGCTCTTGCCTCCACCTGGGGAGCCCACTTCTCAATTTTTTGTTTTCTTTAGAGAGACAAAGAACCTCCCCAGCCGCCCATTGCCGCATTCCAGTTAACCTTTCATTAAGCCTGCTGACAGCTGGCTTCAGCTCTCCGTGAGTTAGTTCAACACATTCCCATTGCAATGTGTCCCACCTGGCTTCATTAAGGTTCCTGCCAGGTTCTCCACTTGTCGCTTCCTCTGCAAATGCAAATAAGACTCTGAGTAAATAGTTTGCAGACAAGGAAGATTGAATTATAAAGGAGTGGGGAATTGGAGAACCGTCAAAATACTCAGGCTGCCGTGGATCTGAGTAAACTAAAAGCCATCTGGGTCCATGCAGGTCGATCCCGCCCTCTGCAGGCATGAAGTCTTTCATTTGGCCCCTCAGAGCGTGGGATCCTTCCTGGCCTGCTTCAAGGCCCTGCTCTGTCCGAGGGGGCTGGATTTATGTGACCTCAGGCAAGTTCCTTCATCTATCTCTGCTTCTGTTTTCTCAGCTCTGAAAGTGAGAATAATGTGCCTGGTCCTTAGGGCCACTGTGAGGAGTCAGTGAGAAATTGCCTTGAAACACATAGAGTACCCAGAACATATCGAATGCTCCTAAGGATTGGATGTTAACTGTAAAGTTTAGGTCTAACAGGTTAAGGTCAAGGTTAGCCTAGAAAGGTTAAGATCAAGGCTGTAGAACCAGGTTGCTGTAAATCCTCAAGGTTTGAGGCCCCGCCATCTAGACATGAGCTGTTCAAGTTACATCTCCATTCAGTTGCATTTCTCATGTGTGTTTGTTATGTCCGAGAATCAGATCCCCTATGCGGCGGAAAGACAATCACTCCAGAGCTGATAATGTAACAGCAAAAGGGACTTTTATTCCAGCTATCTGGGGTTCGGTCGTATCCAATGCAGGGGAATTCTGACTCGAACCCTGATCTAATTTTACAACAAGCTTATATAGGGTTACAGTGAGCAAGCAATCATAGTCTTTGCAAAGGTTGTAAATTCTTCAGGAAGGGTGGGCTCAGGATGTTTCTCAACCACAGGCGCCTGAAGCTTGAGTGCACCTGGTATTTGTCAAACCCACCGGTTTAAGTTAATTCCTGGAACTGCCTCCACCCTCTGCAGTTTACTGAGTCACTCCTGTATGCCTTTTGTCCTGCCCCGGGGCCTAGGGGCCTGCCTCTGTCTTGGTGGGTCCTCACATGTTCTGTCTCTAGATTTTCAAGTTCCATAAGGGAAGCAAGTCTCTCTCCTGTCCCCCCCTACACACTAGATACTGGGAAGTTGTTTGTAGATGGCTACCACTTCATCCTGATAGCACAGCGAGGGAAAGGGGAACAATTACATCAACACCCTCCTCTGACCAAGGAGTCCCAGTCTAAGGATTACATATTTACTCATTCATTACTTGGTAAAGCCTACCCCCGGGACCTTGAGTCTCAAACTGGTTGCCTTGTTCTAGACCATGTGTTGCCTGCCCAGGACATTGTTTTGTCTAACTTGGAATGTTAATGCCTTTCAAGTGGACACACACATTCTACTTCGGTACAGGCCACATCGCGTCCCATCACCTCTCTCACCTGTATCAGCTGCCTGGCCTCCAAAGTCATTGGAGTTTGTCACCCTAGCCTTCTTCTGGGGGGGCTTCTCCTCTGCCCCTGTGGGTGGAAGTCAGGAGACAGGAACCTGAGATCTGCATTTAGGAAAGATACCTCTGCCGCAGCGTGGAGAACAAATCGGAGAGGGAGAGGAGTGAGGCTGGCCAGCAGGATCAGGGAGCTGGCTGCAGGAGTCCCGGCAGAAAGGATTGCAGCTTCAGTGAGGTGTCTCCCATCAGCCTCCTCCTGGACCTTTGCCTCCTGTCACACCCACCAGCAGAGCCCCAGGTGGGAGAGAATCTTCTTTTTAATTTACCTTTATTGTTGAAAGTACCTCAGATGTCCCCATTCTCCACCCCCACTGATCCCCTCCCTCCCCACATCCCCCCATCAGGCTTTCCCCACACTATTGTCTGTGTCCATGGGTTATGCTTATAAACATATAAGTTCTTCGATTAATCTCTCTCCACCCTCTCCCCCACCCCCACCTTCCCACTGAGATTCATCGGTCTGTTCCACGCTTCTATGTCTCTGGATCTATTTTGTTCCTCAGTCTTTTTTGTTTATTAGATTCCACATATGAGTGAGATCATGTAAAACTGAATCAGGAAGAGTCAGAAGACCTGAACAGGCCAAAATCAACTGATGAAATTGAAGCATTAATTAAAAAAAACTCCCAGCAAGCAAAAGCCCTGGTCCAGACGGCCCCACAGGGGAAGGGAGAATCTCCGTGAACTCTCAACCTTTCTCCCTTCCCCTGTTAAGGATTATCACACTGCAGTAGTTCTCTAACTTTAATCTGCATCTGAATCACCTGGACTGCTTGTTAAACTACAGATCACTCCACTCCCCCCACCTCCAAGAGTTTCTGATCCAGCAGGTTTGGGGTGGGGACAAGACTTGGTGTGTCTAACAAGTTCCAGGGAATGCTGAGGCTGCTGGTCTGAAGTGCACAGTTTAAGAGCCACGGAGCCAGAGCAGGATTCCTAGCTCTAGCTGAGCTTTGAAACCACTTGGGGCATTTAAAAAAAATTTTTTTAGATGTTCAGGCCACACCCCAGACCATTGCAAAAGAATCTCTTAAAGAATGGGACTCCAGAATTGACATTTAAAAAAAAAAAATCTCTGCAGTTAATTGCAATGTTCGGCCGAGTTGAGAACTACTAAGTGAGAAGCTCCTGGAGGCTGTTACCAGTTCTAAAATACCATCCATTGAAATGTTTTAATCTGACCAAGGAGTTTCAGGAATATACTTGGAAAGAGATTGAAAATGGCTCACCTGCAAAACAGAAGGGTACTTGTGAGAGAATTTGCCGTCTTCTTTTCCTAGTCAGACCCAAGCTGGTGGTGGCATTGACCCTGGTGGCTGTTTAGCAGGGTGACTAGGAAGCATGAGCTGAGTTAGGATGAGCTGTATCACTGACTCACAAAATAGTGGAACCTAACTGTTCAAGGTCACCCAGACCCACTCCGTTTTCAGATGAGGAAACCGAGGCTCTGAACTGGACTCTAGATCCGTTTTCCCCTCAGTTTCTAAATTTGGGTCATTTTCAGTATCTCAGGTTAACACAGAGGAGAGCAAGTCAAGCCAAGAAAAAGGAGCTGCCCCCAGGCTGTTAGTGGCTTCCTTCATTTAAGCCAGGCCTGACGCTGCTCAGCACCAAATGGATGAGCCAGAAGGTGTGTTCCTCTGGGCAGGTTGTGTTCCAAGTGCTCGGGGAGAGGGGGGGATTTTTTTTTATCAACTGCTGGATCCATGCGAGGCATCTACAGGCTGTATCAGTGAAGTAATGAGACTGATTTATTTTTTACCCCCTCTTAAAAGTAATAAGAGAGGAGACATAGAAAAGGTAGCTTCCTTGGAAGCCTGCGTGCTTGTTGCGTTATTGCCGCGATTGCCCCAAACATACCAGGAAGTTTATCAGGGAAATTCCTTCCAGGCCTGGTGGCTTCCCACATGTCTGCCCAGCCAGAGGCCCTTCGCACTCAGATACACACTCATTCATTCATTCATTCACAACCGTTTGCTTTCATCTCTCCCCCTGGGTCCTTCATGCCGCGCGCTATGAAAGTTTTAAAATAAATCTGTTCCGCCTGGCTGGCGTGTCTCAGTGGTTGAGTGTCAACCCATGAGCCAGGAGGTCATTGTTCGATTCCCAGTCAGGGGCAGGGGCAGAGCACATGCTGAGGTTTCAGGCTCGATCCCCAGTAGGGGGCATGCAGGATGCAGCTGATCAATGGCTCTCTCTCATCATCGGTATTTCTATCTCTCTCTCCATCTCCCTTCCTCTCTCTGAAATCAATAAAAACATATTTTAAAAAATAAAATAAAATAAATAAATCTGTTCCTATTGAGAAGCCAATTTCCATGAGTTATGTTTAGAGAAACTAACCTGCATGGCTTTACGGTCACATCCACGCACTGGCCCTGCTGGAATGTCCACGTCATTCACCACATTTTGCTCTGATGGACTCTTGGTTGTTTCCAAAATTAAATTTCCCAAACAAGAATTAAGGTGTGACACCAGGGTCACCTCTAAAGACACTCAAATGCGAACAGAAAATAATAGAAAACCAAGGAGTTTTAGAGGTGAGTCAAAATTATGGTGCGATTTTCCACGTCATTCCCTGCATTATTGATGAAGCATAGGCCCGGGGCTGCTCCCACCACACCTGGAGCGGGGCACCCAACTATGACAGTTGGGCGTAAAGAGAGAGATGCAAATGCATCCAAGATAAAGGCAGCTAGGGGAGAGGAGGTACCAGAAATCATGTCCCGGAGGCGAGGTAATTTACAGAGACGTGGGGCTCTCCTTCCGGTACCTGGGGCACTACGTTTCCCATGTTCTGTGTGAGCACCATGAGTTCAGCTAGGGCTGACAGGCAGATGCTATCTGGAGACAGACTTTGTTTTCCATATTTCTAAGCCTCAGAACTGCCCTGAGACTGAATGGACTCCCCTAGGTGTGGTAGTGAGCGCATCATCACTGAAAGGGTTCAAGCATAGTGTGCAAGGTCACTTAGCAGAGAAGGTGTGGTCTCTGAAGCACCTTTCTCTTGTGAAACTAAAGCAAGGCTGGCTCAGTGACACCAGTGGAATTGATGGGGCTTCAAACAAACAAACAAACAAACAATCTAAGACTTATTTTGACAATTCACACGTCCTGCCCCTGTCCTCCATTCTAAGCAAAAGTGGCAAGTCATAGTGTGAAAAGACCTTCTTCATCTTCTCTTCCGTGCTGTATGTCATCGAGGACGTTTTTACTTTCTCCAGGGTTGTGTAGCCTACAAAAAGAAAAGAGGCTGATCATGGGAACCTCCGAGACCAGGAATAAATGGATGCAGCCGATTCACAGCACAACTAACCAAGGCTGTAAGAGTTAAAAGGGCCCAGCCCAACTCTCATTTCACAGATGGGAAAACTGAGGCCGCAGGGGATAAAGGGATTTTGTCAACCTAGTCTAATGGGGGATTTAGAAGTTTCTATATTAGAAAATATAAAATCACAACCTAAAAATGTTTATTTATTTTTTTTTAATCTCCAACTATGATCTTGGAATGTCACCTTACTGAGCCTCAGTTTCCTTACTTGTTAGTGTTTATTTGTTAACAAATATTGTGGTATTGATGTAATTTTTAAGTGAAGTTAAGGTCTTCATCACAGTTTACACCAAATCTTTTTATTTCTTTCCCAAAAAGTTACAGAACTGGACAGATATCCAAAATCCTTTTCCAGAGACTCTTCAAACTATTAAAAACAACAACAAAACAAAAACACACAAAAAAACTGCTCCCATGGTCTAATTGTGCAGAGGAAGCCATATCCCAGGAATGATATTCTATGTTTTTTCATTGTTCATATTGCCAACTCTCCTCTCCATAAACTCCAGTTTAACAATGTCCTTTAAAGTAAGTTCCCCAGAGTCAAACAAAGAACTTCTAGCATAGAGTAGAGTGATGTGTCACCTTCTTTCTTTTGGGTGTCATACTTCTATTAATGCAACCTGCCTTTGCAGTTGCATTTTGGACAAACGTTAACAGTGTTAACCAAGGCGGAGGTAAATGTGAGCTAAGTCCCCACCTCTTTTTCACCTCTAATGTCACATCTCTCCAACCCTGTATTTAATCAGAACACAAGCACAAGTCATTAAACCACTGAGTAGTATCTAATCATTTGTAACACCTTGTACTATCATTACAACGATCAGTCATGCAAGATGAATTACCTTGTGTGTTTCTGGAAGCAATTGGTTTTCATGACTTTCCCTGGAAAGACAAGGCCACAGTATAAGCATAGGGCTGTGCTAGGACATTTGAAATGCTGGCGGAGCCCACTACCACCTTAGGAAAAGCAGACGTAGTCTAAAGGTGAGGACCTAGGGACTGGCTTCGGCAGGGAAAGCCATTCCTTTTCCTGGATCAAATGACTGCTTCTTTAGGCCCCTGGGCAGGGCCCATCAAAGACAAAGTTGTTCCACCGTTGTGGGCAATGGTGTTAAGCTGCCTCAAACCTGAGTCATTTGCCCGGCCGCAATTCTAGTGCTCATTTGGGTTTTAAAACACTTCCTCAGGAGCCTTACACGCCTTTGGAAATTTCCTTTTGCAGTGTTCACTAGGGGCAGGTTTCAAAATGTGCAAGTCTCCCTGTTGTTGCTCAAACAGGCTGAGATGATTACTACTCTTATCTCCTCACTACCTTGAAACGGTTTCCGTTAATAATTTCAGAACAATCCTCCCCACCCCCCATTTACAGCAGGACACGATGCCACATGCCTATACTTTGCATGAAAACTATAAACCCTATTTCATGACTCCTTTTTGCGGCGTTTTAAAAGTTCTTTCGGAAGTGAGGGGCGGGGTGCAAGGTCATGGACCAGATGGAGAATTTCATGACAACTATGGACCCTGCCCCTTGAAAAATGCAGGTAAGAACGTACAAGCGCTTTTGTACGGGATTTCAAGGGACTCACTCGTCCCCTAAGTTCCATCTGTGCACCCCAGGTTAAGAGCTTGCGTTAAGGAGACAAATAAAAAGAGCAGGGATCATTCATGGCTTCCTCCCTGGGGCAATCCTAGCCAGAGACGGATACGGGGCCAGGGTTTCCTCCACCCAAGACAGTGATGATAACAGCACTTTCCACTGAGCGCAGTGCTGCGGATGGAGTGAGTCAGGCCAGTGAAGAGTCTAGCATCAGGACTGACACCGAGTAAGTGTCCAATAAATGAAGGTGCTCTTGTTGGTGGTTTTTTATTTTCCAAAAATAGGACTCTATCAGGAGGATGAGACTTGAAGCTTTCAGCATCTTAGGGAGAATGGGTTTACCTGTCACCTCCTTGACCAGGAGGGAGACAGTGGTAGAAACCGGACTTCGGGGAATGGAGGAAAGGAGCAAGGAGTGGCGCTGACCTACTCCCAGGTCCCCCTGGAGACTCCACCGCTCTAAAGGGCTTCACCCATCCTTACCTCGAAGGAACAGCCCTACGATCAGTGCACACAGCACAAATCCCAGGGAGGAAGCAATGATCTTCGCCAGGAAGGCGCTGTCCATCCTGATCGCCTGGTGGGACACAGGGAGGACGATCGGACCACTTGTTTCCGCACGTCGCCCTCGCAGGAGTTTCCCTCCCAACCACACCCCTCACTGGCCAGAGCTTCACCGCATCTCACCACCTTTTGCCCCGTGTGTCTCAAGATCAAAATAAAGCCAACCTTACAGATCATAAAAATGCCTTTAAATTTCCGAAACCCCGAAACATTGACCCACACTCCCAAATTCTCCTAAGTCTTAGACACCAGGCATACAGGCTGTGGGGCTCAGGCGTCTGAAGGTAAAAAATGAAGGGTGCCGGGAGCCGAGTTCACTATCAGATCCCTAGGCCCCCGCCTGAGTCCTCTGAGCTCTCCCCCGCCCCGGGCAGCCCTTCCGTGGCTGACTCAGACTTCTAGGGGCAACAAGATCAAAAAGCAAATGGAACTCAGTTTCACATTTCCTACAGCTGTGGTTCTCAAAGTGGAGCCAGGGGACCCTTGAGATTAAAACGATTTTCGTGAGACATTATTTGCCACTTTGACTGTCATTGTCTCCTGAGAGGTGCAGTGGAGTTTCGCAGAGGTTACAGGGCGTGTGAGGTGATGATCTCACCTCCCTGATGATGGCCTATGGAGGCAGGCGTGAGAATCTCTCTCTGCTGTTGAGCCAGACACGGAGACTGGTGAATGTAAAACACTGCCACTTTCCTCACTAATACTTTCTCCTTTGGAAAAATGCAGTTATTTTTCACGAAATGTATGTTACTTGTGTTAACGTAGAATGGATTTGTTATTTTTATTTTTCAATGAATACACGTTGTTTTTCGTTTCTCAGTGTTCGTTTTTATGAGTGTGAAAGGGCCCTGGCACCGCTGAGAAGCGCCGCTGGGGGGGCGGCATCCAGCTCCCCTGGGGCTGCGCCACATGCCCGCCGGGCCGTGCTCCGCCTGCGGCCCCGTCCTCCACCGCAGCGGCAAGGACGGGACAGCAGCCTCTCTGAGGAGACAGAGGGGACAGGAAAGGGGGGGAGGGGGGACTTCATTTGTCCTTTAATTTATTTATTTTAACCCTCACCCGAGGATATTTTTTCCATTGATTTTTAGAGAGAGTGGAAAGGAGGGAGGGAGGGGGAGAGAGAGGAACACTGATGTGAGAGAGACACATCAACTGGCTGCCTCCTGCATGGGCCCTGACCGGGGCCGGGAATCAAACCCGAGACCCTTCTGTGCGCAGGGAGATGATCTAACCACTGAGCCACACTGGCCAGGGCCACTTTTCCTTTCAGATGTCTGTACTGCCTGAAGTTTTTTAACTAGTGCGGCTTGAGTCGTTCCTGTAATAATAATAAACATTAATGTAGGGCAGCCTCAGAGCATAGGAACACGTGTGGCAGGTGACAACTCTGCAGGGTGTCAGTCACCCTGGGCCATGCAGAAGGAACACACAGCGACTTTCCATATTTTTGTACTATTTTTCTTTTTGCTTTTCAGAGCATCTGCACATATAGAAGTAATAATATTGATGTTATTTCCTTCAAGAGTACAAGTCTACAAATTCCTTAGCTATTTCAGAATTGTTGCCATGCATTTTGCAGCTTAGATGTATATGCTCTCCCTAGTCCATTTCTGCAGGCCTCGAGCGTAGATTTTAAAAATCTAAGTCATACACTTCAAATACTTCACGAAAATGTTTACCTGTCCTGGTTCAGCTTCATCCACAAAATCTGTCATCTCAGTGGCTGGGAAGGGAACAGGAGAGAAAATGTTTGTATTTCTTCTGAGAGAATGAAATATCACATTTTGAAATAAGCTTTCCAAAGCTCAGATAGAATTTCAGTTGGTGTGTTTAATCTTTGAATATCATCTTTTCTGGTGCAATTTACTTATGAGCATTTGTTTTGATACGGTTTTATCTAAGGCTCATCTGCTATCCAACATTACCCAAGAGGAACATCCCCATTTTATAGATAGGCAGAGTGAGGCATTAGGCCAGCGGGCAATTGGGTCCATCTGGAGGCCCCAGCAATGCATTCAGGATTTTTATCCAACAATAAAATGTGTCACTCTATCAGTTAACAAACAGCTACAGATATTTATGATAGGCCAAGCACTTATGGTAGCTATACCATTGACCTTGTCGGTGGAATTTACAACTTAGTGCAGAAGACCCAATTTAAACAAATAATGTGACTAGTCGAAAAACAGTTACAATTGTGCAAAATTCTGGGAATAAATAGTATATCATAGGGCCACTCCATGAGGGTGGCTGACCTGTCTGAAGGGCCGAGGAAAGTGTCCTTGAGGATGTGAATTTTAAGCTGAGAGGTGGAGTCATTTGTATATAACGGATCTTTGAGTCCGACAAGGAAGAACCTGCTGAGGATGTGCCAAGTGCTGAGCACTGTTGCGGGCACTATTCCTGAGTTGAATATGGTGTGGCCTCGCCCTCACAACACTTACAGCACCTCGGAGGAGGGAGACCAGAGGGCTAGTTGCCCTAACAGTCCAAAGGTAAGAATGATGGGGAATGGACAGGGGCTGGGGAGGGTGGGCAGAGGGGGAGGCGCACCAGCCAGCATCGTGGTTCAGTGCGAGTTATTAGAATTAAGTTCCATGAGGAGGGGTCCCCCTCTGCCTCCTCAACCCAGGAACCCCAACACTCCCTGACACATACTTGGAGCTCAAGAAATGGTTCAGCTGGAGATACTGGTTTGAGAGTTATCAATATCCAGGGAGCCATTCACATCCTCACAGTGTGTAAGAAATCCAAGGGCTGCATGTCCAGACGGGGATGAATGGGGGTCCTGGGGAACCCAGCACTCACAAGGTGGGCAGAGGAAGCAAAGGAGGAGATGGAAGAAATGGGTAGAAAGTGAGCAGAGGCCAGGGCAGGAGAAGATGTCCAGGAAAGATGCAAAAGCATAGTGCGATCCAACCTTCTGATAGAAACCGAACGCCATGCCACACGGAGCCAAGGCCTGAGTGGAATAAACGCCCAGGCGACTAATCACTGCAACTGCGCACTATTTCCCCAGCGTCCTCGCACGCGAGGCAAGAGGAGAAGTGCAGTTGGTTTCCTAAGGCTCGCTGTTTGCTACCAGAGAAGTGACTTGTCGAAACCCTAGGAGTAGAGAGCTCCGAGGGTCCGAGGGGCGAAGTCGAGTGTTTTATATCCTACAGCTCAGTTCTTGTTTTACTCTCTGCTATTATCCCCTAGAGCTGGAAACCGCAGGTAAGAATTCAAAACTCCTACCCCTTTTCTTTCAAAATCCTGTTGTACTACCATCATTTGTGATGGATAAGCCTGAAACTGAAACCATCAAAGAGAAAAGCCGGCCTGGGCCAGTTTTGTCTGAGCTAATCTGTATTTTAAATTGGAGATGTCTAATGGGGGAGACATCCTGCAAACACAAAAGCTGCGAATGATGCCAAACAACGCTTTTTCTTCTTTTTTTTTTTTCCTTCAAAAAAAAAAAAAAAAAAAAAAAAAAAAAAAAA